ATGAATGAATGATTTTATTCGAATAAAATCATTCGATAGTTGAAATCATTCATTCATTAACCATTCGATAGTCTAATTCATTCGATAGTTCCCATCGCTAATTGAAACCACTAATTTATTCCACTAAGTGCGAGGTTCTGAATGAAGCTTAAATCTAAAGTAGGTATGTGACTTGTGTAAAGATTTTATTTTTTGTATACTTACTGCGTCCGCTCCCTCGTAATAATGCTTTCTCCAAAATTATTACTGGCGACTCAAAAGCCAATGTCCAAAATATTGCTACGAATGTTGTAACGATCAAATGACCACAGAAGTTATAGAACTGAAATAAAATTTTGTATAAATTATGACTTATATTTTTTTCTCTATTAGACAAAATATTTTTTTACTAAAGTTAGTATTCATAACATCATAATGTAATAAAAAAAGTACAGTTTTATCGTCATTAATTCATTTCCTCTTTTTATTTTTCCCCATTGAAAAACTTTTTTACGCCACCTATTCTCCGGCATACGTAGAACGTGTCCAAACCATTTTAGTAATGTTTCCTCCGATGCATTCATGATACCCCTGACCTTAATGTTTGTCTTTTTTTCCATCCTAGATATACCTTCTTCTAAGGTAGTCCATTTCAACAACTTGAATTTTGCGCTTCGCGTCTGCACTCAGGGTCCATAGCTCTGAACATAGCAAAGAACTGACTACTAAGACATCCAATAATTTGTTTGATATTTTGAATTCAGTTTTATATTTCTTCTTTGCCCAAACCCTCGTTGTTGATAGTAGCACCCAAATATTTAAATTTGTCTGCTTGTTGAACCAATGAAGATTTCAAAACAAGCGTTCGAATTGACAGCTAAGTATTCCATCTTTTTAGACTAAGTCCTAATGACGAACTAAGTCATACCTGACTAATATAAGTCCCCATTTGTTGTATTCTTGATAAAGCATTTTAGCCATGAACTCCAGATCGTATGAGTCCTGCGCAATCACGACCTGATCGTCTGCAAAGATCAGGGTATATAGTGTATCGTCCCCAATGCATATTCCCATACTTTGACATACCACGTAAAACATGGTCTGCGTTGAACAGGATAAGGACATATCATGGGGGTGTGCTGATTCTATGTTTAAATGGGGAAAGTCAGCTTCCTCACAATACGACTGCAACACCGGCAGACTATCCGGCATATAAAAAGTAAAAGCATGCCCATTAATATCCTATTCCGGTCCCTTTGATAATTTCCTGGAAGCTACAGACAGTGACAGTGCAGTCGAATACATTCCTAGTTTAGATGTTTGTTTGTGATACTGTAAGAGTCCCAATTTATTTTTCTTTGGTTCAGTGAAAAATAAATAGCCTTATTGGCGTACAGTAGTAAATTTAAATCTCTCGGGCGCCACCTCTGTTATTTATAGTGGAAGAGGTCCACGTTTCGCCAATACGGGTAGCTTTTATACAGTGGAGATACAAGGGAGTGATGAAATGAAAAGAAATAAAACACACAGTTAACTATAACGTAACATTAAGGCTTTATTTAATTAATTAACTATATACTAAATACCCTAGGAAGTTTCACGACTTTAAATTGTAATGAAAGTGAAAGAAAATTTCCGTAAAAAAAGACCCGTAAAATAAAATTTACAATAACAACCGAGTACCTCTAGAGTTTTGACCGTATCATCTCGATATGCAACTCACTGTCCGATTTAATCACGCGAATTCAAAGCGCGTTTTTGACATGACGTTCTAGTAAATAAAACGACGCGAGTTTCTAACCGGCGTCTAACTTAAGAGCGTCCTAGTAAACACAGACATGTACGTACCGGAGCGACATACTCTTTTATAAACCGACTTTCTAAACGTCGGCGACGTCATTACAGGCGTCCCGGGATAGACAAACGCGAGCCCTGGATCGTTCGCAGTAGAACGAAACGGCGTCCTGTGGGATAGGTACGCACGCGAGCCCTGGATCGTTCGCAGTAGAACGAAACGGCGTCCTGTGGGATAGGTAGGCACGCGAGCCCCGGATCGTTCGCAGTAGAACGAAACGGCGTCCTGTGGGATAGGTACGCACGCGAGCCCTGGATCGTTCGCAGTAGAACGAAACGGCGTCCTGTTGGATAGGTACGCACGCGAGCCCCGGATCGTTCGCAGTAGAACGAAACGGCATCCTGTGGGATAGGTACGCACGCGAGCCCTGGATCGTTCGCAGTAGAACGAAACGGCGTCCTGTGGGATAGGTACGCACGCGAGCCCCGGATCGTTCGCAGTAGAACGACACGGCGTCCTGTGGGATATACAAACACGAGCCCTGGATCATGAAATTAGCGACGTCTCGGCGAGTGGTACGTCGTTTCGTGAAACGCAGGCCGCACACACACCGCCCGGTCTTCGCGTCCACGTGATCCGTTCAGCTCCCCCACCTGCTAGAGGACAGTTGGCCCTGAACGAACACAAGTTTTGCCGGCTTTTACGATCGCGCGCTTTCCTCGCGTCCACGTGATCCGTTCAGCTCCCCCACCTGCTAGAGGACAGTTGGCCCTGAACGAATACAAGCTTTGCCAGCTTTTGCGATCGCGCGCTTTCCTCGCGTCCACGTGATCCGTTCAGCTCCCCCACCTGCTAGAGGACAGTTGGCCCTGAACGAATACAAGCTTTGCCAGCTTTTGCGATCGCGCGCTTTCCTCGCGTCCACGTGATCCGTTCAGCTCCCCCACCTGCTAGAGGACAGTTGGCCCTGAACGAATACAAGCTTTGCCAGCTTTTGCGATCGCGCGCTTTCCTCGCGTCCACGTGATCCGTTCGGCTCCCCCACCTGCTATAGGACAGTTGGCCCTGAACGAACACAAGTTTTGCCGGCCTTTGCGATCGCGCGTTCTAACTATCTCTGTCTCCCTTATCCCTATAACGCGTCAAGGCAGTAAAGTAAACGGTATTAACAATAAAAAGAATACGACCTACTCTCGATCACTTTGGCGGTGGGTGCTTACCTTATACAATACGGCGGCAGGCGGCTGGCAGCAGGACACTTGGCAGGGCACTCCGGACTCGAACCTCACTGGTTCACGTACGACCGCTAACTAACTCCGTAGTGCTAGTGCGGCCGAGGTACTCGACTACGCTCCCCTCCACTCAACCTGCACTGGTAGGGAGAGCGGCGCAAACGTCTCGGTTTCTCGCACCGAACCACGGCGACCAAAACCGATCAAAACTCTCTTACAAAATGGCAATTAAATATTTAACTTATTTAATTCAACAATAGAAACACTAATGAAGTTCATTACAATAATGAGTTAACAATAAAATACACTGCCTGTCATTATTACAAGAGAATCAAGTCTCTATTATTCTAGTATAATATTAATATAATATACAGGGTGGCCCAGAAATTTTATGAACTTCATTACAATACTTGTTATATGTATGTTTGTTTGTACATTTTAGACTCTGTCAGACTATTCAGCTACATAACACACATATTTACTTCCTGCTCTTTTCTTGTACAATGATTATGGTCTCATGTGTTTTGTTGTGATGTTTAGCCATACGATAGATATAGATATTGACATCTCCTCTTCCATTCCCTAAGGGCTACTTCGAAGTAAGCATTGAAGATCAGAGGAGATAAGCTGTATGCAAGTACGATTCATTTGCTTTATGTAGCTCTTTTCTTATCTTAAGTAGAGGTCTATCTACTTCTAAAATATTCAAGACTTCCCATATCTTGCTGCGGGGAATAAGAGTAGTACGCTTTCTCCAAATCAATAAACGCTAGATGGACTTTTTGATTTACTGTTATTTTTTCCCATCACCTGCTGCAGAACAAAACAAAAGAAGCTCTGTATTTTAAATTAGCAATAGAAAACAAAATTATCCACAAATATCAGTCGAATAAATGTTAAGTCCAATAAGTTGGATGATAAATCACAAGCGCCGGATTTCTGGAAAAGTGATAAAAATATAGACAACTCAGTAATCTGTACAATACGGGACTCTAGATTTCCAACAAGTGATGATTGTAAATCTAGAATCTACCAATCATGCGTTTGATCTCTATGACATATGGCACAGAAACTAGGGTCCACAAGGCAGTAACAAGTGTACCCGTATAGTATTAGCCGTAACATAAAGGATTTTAAAAACAGCAGATATAGTCTATACTAAAAATATATTAAAAATATCAACAATGATACACATTGAACGACAAGAAAAGAAACATAGACAAAGGCAAAAATCTGTGAATAAAGAGAAAAGAATAGAGCATGTCAAATAATATGTCTACCAAAAGAATAGCCAAAGTAGTAGTGAAGGGCATTACGATTCTTTTTAGTGAATCGAATCACACAGTTCAATTTCTCATATTGAATCGACTCCTACGATTTATTCGTTTGAACGAACCACATGCACCATTTACGTTTCATAAAAACAAGAATCGTAAGTGGCACTACCCGCGATAATTTGGTAGGACAATTACTTAAGGGACCAGAAAAAGAAATATACAGTTCTTTCATTTGTTTTTCAACATTTTATGACACTGGCGTAATTGGATTGATTATTTTACCAATAATAATAAATTATCAATCCAATCTATATATACTACTTATTTAAAGACTTCTTAATACCAATTTAATATTTTTAGAGCCATATTTTAATTCCGGTTTAATAATCGTAATAAATAGTATATAATACTACCGCATGATCGAAAAAAAAATGGCGTCCAGTTGGCTTGGAAATGAACATCGATGACATTCCCCAAATAAGTTTACATATAAAATGACAGCGATCTTCATTTTATAACCATCGCTGACGCCGTTTTTTTATCACATTGAGGAGAGGTCAACAACCTCTATTTAGACTATTTTTAACAAAAATATTAAGGTGGAAATTAAATATCTTACAGATACTCCCGTACTAAGCACAGCATAAATATGTTTTTTCTTGTAAATAACTTTCTTATCGTTTGCATTTTATGCCCGTGATGTTTGTTTAGGGCTTTTGTTCAAGTATAAATATTGGTGCCTGCATTTATTCTTATAAAATCGCCGGCAACGCCGCGCCGTAGAAACGAACGATCGTTCAAATGGTATGGATCCGTGCTGGTCAGGATTCAATTCAACGAACCGCATTGCAAGCAATGAATCGAATCTCACAATTCATTTTTAATACTCGTTCGAATGAACGATTGTTCAATCTTTGCCCACCTCTACATACTACTTTGTCACGGAAGACCATCCGGACAATTATTCTTAAAGCTGATGACGAGATATTTAGTAATCAATTATTTTCTACTTGATGATTATAATAACATCAGTAATATAATCGTGAATAATTTAAATTTTAGTAGTACAACCTACGTATATTCACTTACCAAAATATAGTCGGTAAAATGCAATGTTGTTCTAGTTTCCATAGCTGTATAAGATATTATGGGTCCATGCATGAGATAAAGGCAGTATACTAGCTTTCCTCCAAGTTGCATGAATCCACAAGATAAAAACCAGTTGATAATACCTAAAAACAGCGATGATATAGAAATAATTCTCTGTATATAATGGAGTAATAGTTTCTTTTTAAATAAATGTCTTTTTATAAATGTAAAATAAAAAAGCTTTTGGTATTGTGTAAAAATAGAAAAACAGTACCTATTACAAAAAATAAATAAAATTTATATTTAAAAAACTTAAATTAGGGTCAACAGATTTGGCAAATATGCCTTAATAAAATAAACACTGATTGTATTAACGTACCAATTAAAATCTAAAATAAATCTAAAACATTAAATCTAATATATATAATATAATGTTGCGGACCTGTGTGGACTCAGCGTAACCCATTCTGATATGTCCCGCCCCCATATGACCTTAATATCGCATAAGAAGAGACACCGCAGTGAATCAGCCAATCGAACATTCGAGAACAATCCAGTTCCACTGGAATGGTGGCGTACATACAAGAACATTCTAAATCTTCTCTATATGCACCTAATGATCTATGGACTGGATTATTCTAGGCTCCCTGTCTGTGGCTATAGAGGGTGTCCCAGAAATAAGTGCAAATATTTTAAGGGGTGGTAGATCTGGTCAAGAGAAACATATTTTCTCTTTACCATTTTTAATAAACTGAAAATAGCGAGTTATTTAACTTTGAAATTTTTAAAAAATAATAGTAACATTTCGAGAACCGCAGGCAGATATCGCCAACTACCTCCAATTACGCGAATCAAGCCCGCTTCTCAGGTAGTTCGACGCCCTGTGTTGCCATATGGACAAGAAAGTATATGCTTAAAAAAAGTCATAAAACCACACCACCTGAGGAGTTTGGCAGAGATTGCAGATATGCATTACATTTTTAAGATTGTGATATTACAAAAAATAAATAAAAAAAACTTACCCAACATTAAAAAATGATACTTATGACAGATCGATGTAACTGTGACAGTTCTCTTTTTGGATACACACTTAACTAAAATACACTTCACTGTGCTGCTTTACTTGTACCTACATGCTATTATAACTGCTATAGTAACAGACCCCATTTCTAACATATTCTTTTCATATAGGCTTCATCACAATTTGAGCCACTGATTTACAAAACACTTTGAAAAGCGCACATTACTTTGAATACCTTTCTAAATGAATAAATATTGAGAATTATTGTTTCTTATCGCCACTTTACGAACAATTTTAAATACGTATTTTGTTTTTTCGCTATTTTTTCGATGTATTTCGACAATGCCATCAACAGCCCAACCGTCCACCAAGAGTGCCACATATCAACTGGTTCTTTGAGGCGCAGCGCCGCCGTGGCGGGCTTGCGTGTGTCATGCGACGATATTAAGCGACGTTGCCGTAGTTACAATTTCAAATTCAAAACATTCAAAGCAATCAAATTCGTATTAAATTTTAAAAATAAAACAGAGAAACATGAAAGGAAAGAAACAAAACAAAAATGAATTGATTATTCGTCGGGCTGTTTTCGATATATTGAATTCTGAATTACGATAAACATTTTAGAATTTTTTTGTGACCTTATCGATAATCAATTCATTTTTGTTTTGTTTGTTTCCTTTCATGTTTCTCTGTTTTATTTTTAAATTTTAATACGAATTTGATGGTTTCGAATGTCTTGAATTTTAAATTGTTGAAACTACGGCAACCTCGCTTAATATCGTTGCATGACGCAAGCTCGACACGGCAAGGAACCAGTTGACACGCCTCATTTTTGATGAACGGTTGGTTTTCGATGGCATTGTCGAAATACATCGAAAAAATAGCGAAAAAACAAAATACGTACTTAAAATTGTTGAGTGAAACATGTATTATGATGAATCATTTTATTAAATTTATTCCAAAATAAAGTTATTTTGCAGCATAACAAAGATTTTCGCAAACGTCATAAAGGTAATGTTGAAGTTAATATTCGGTGGTTTTTGTTAAGTTTTCATTGAAAGGGTAAGTACTACATTTTTTTTTTCTATATTATTAATAATGAGCACCGATAAAAGATTAAATTTAACATTCCTAATTTTTTGGGTGGAAATTTGTCTATCAATTTATAAATATAGAACTATGTAGAATGTGGATAACATAGGAGGTTGCAACACTGCAAGGTTTAGATACACCGTAGGGAAATCTCAGGTGAATAAACACGTGGCACTAAAAAGTTTTTTCAAATTTCCCGGAAAATGTCAAGAAAAAATTTAAATTTTCATCATTTTTTTTCGTAAAAAAAAACCTCATAGGCGTGTTTCTGAGTTTGAACTATACTACTAGTTAAAATACTTGCACTTATTTCTGGGACACCCTGTCTAACCCTAAGCCGGTACAAGGAGGACAGAAACAAACAGATTCCGTCGACGCGTACAATTGCCGCGCTAAATTCAAAATAAATTCCTTTTAGATAAATGGTTAAAAATAAGTGTGTAAATAGTTCTTTAAGTGTTTTATCATTATTGTTTTGTTACTTAGTGTAAAATAAATTGTGTTTAAATAAATTAGACACGGAACCACACGGAACCGACGAAAAACGTAACAATAGTAACATTTGTTTATAACTAAAATATTTCTACATTACCTCCTTGACCAACAAGACAACTATATACAATCCAACAGAGTTGTAAACACCAAATTGGTCTGCCTAAACTTATTGCAATAGCTTTAACTTCATACTCATATGTAAATCCATAAGTTACATAGGCAGTAACGTACATACCAATCAAAACAACACACCAAATGAACAAGTTCAATTTCTGTAAACAAATATATTAGTTACAAACTTACCGGTATACATATCATCAACTTATTTTAATTTAGCCTCATACTAATAACTTAGTTTTCAATATTTAATTTAGAAAATTAAAGATCGAAGTATAGCATTTCTTTAAATATTTAAAAATGATTATTTAGTATCAGTCATGTGTACTTCTTTGGTGACTTTTAAATAAATAAAATGCTGATTTAAATACAATTTCAATATTCATACAATAGAGACGGAAGCCACGTTAGTTGATTTGTCTCTTGCTATTCACACAACTCACAGAAACCTGTTAGTTGCGAATTTATTGATGTGATGATTCCTTTCGTGTTTTTTGTTTCTAAGACCGGTACCCCAAGCGGTATCCTTTATATATCGATTTTGCATTCAACTCTTATAACAAACTCGCAGTCAATTCCAGAGAAGAGACTTTCCTCCCGAAATCCTCCTTAGAATTTCATTCTCAGATCTTAAGAAATCTGTTTTTGATGGGACTCATTGCTTATTTTGCTTATTGGTAGTACATAATTTTTGAGGTTCAATCAATAATTAATTATTAGAGTACTAATGTAATATGAAAAAAAGTGGAAAATCTTACATTATTAATTTTTTTCAAATGTTGTTTATTGTGTCTCACGTAAGCTCCAAACATAAAACCAATGAAGTAAACATTGAGACGTGAGTGACTGTCATATTCGCTTGAAAAGTCGCTGAAATAAAATATATTTATAATGCTTAGTTAAAAACTAAAATAAAAATAAAGTATAACATATTAGCATTTAGTATGTTGATTTATCATAAATCACTTATTCTGATAACCGTAAAAGTATAAAAAATAATAAATTTTGTTTAAACTGTAATTTTCCTAATTAAATAGTTTCGAACCATTTTTGAACAATACGTAATTTTGTAATTTTTAACTAATTTATATCATTATACATAAGTATTTTCAGTAGAAAAATAAAAATATTTACATATTAATTAACATAATTCAATTAATATTAATTAAAGTATTATGTAAAAACAGTCTTATATCTTTATTTCCAAAATCAAACATTCGATCCTACAGAGTGACCAAGTGCTTTTGAAAAACATTTTATAAAGTTTCTTATTTTAGATAATTAGATATTAATAAAATAAAATATTTTAATTAAAAAAATCTCAAAAAATGTTTTTTAACTAAAGTTTGAAAAATGCTAATAAATACTGCCCCTACTTACGGATCTAGGTCCCTAGTTAACTTTAGTTTGGTGAAAATTGGCAAAACAATAAATATTAAATTCATCACAAATAAAATCCCCATAAAAACTGTATATCTGCGTTTATATACCATTGCTAATAAGATTGTAACTGGTATGGCAAAAAGAAATAGTTGCATATCCGCCGATAAGTACCAAGTAGCTGTAATACACTGAAATAAGAATAAAAGAGTTGACGATGGAATCTTTGGTGATTACAACTGCGAAATAAAACACTAATTCCCCAATCTAATAATAGTAAATGATTTAGTAATAATAGTAGTTAATTAAGTAAATAATACCAATCACCACGAAACCAAAATACATTACTTTTAACACCGCTAGCATCATTAGGAAACTAGTTTAGTTTTAGTCATCTGCTGATGTTGCTAACCTAGTTAACGAAAAAATGTGTTTTGCTGTATGTGGAGAATTAATGTATTATTTTGCTGAAATAAATAATATTATTTTAACAATATACAAAATGGTAATTTTAGAAATACTAATTGTGAATATATACAGGGTGGGTATTAAATAAGTGTAAATATTTTCAGGGCTGGTATATCTCGATAAAGGAAACATATTTTCTCGCTACCTTTTTTCAAATAAGTCCAAAATACCCGAGTTGTTTTACTTTGAAAATAAAAAAAAGACTATTCTGTTAAATTTTGAGAACAACTGGATATTTTCTGGGTTTTCTTTCTTGTAAATTTAATCTACTACCATATATTGCCATATTATCAAGATATTATGTTTTTATAATACAAATTAAAAAAAAATCAAATTTTCAATTCTTTTCGCGAAAAAAACCTTTGAGACTTGAAAAGAAAAAAGTCAGTGGCGCACATGTTTTTTTTTAAATACTCCAATGATAACCCATATACACATCCCTGATGAATTTATCGACACTTTTTTAGCATTAAAATATGTAGCAGTTATAGTAATTTTTAACCTCAAAATTTCATTCAAATCACTAAAAGTACTTGGAAGAAAATTAGAATAAATCGAAAAAATATTAAGTCTTTAAGACCCTGTAGCTACGAAACAAAGCAGAATCGCACCTATGTTGATATGAAAAATAAATCTTAGTTTTACGTGAGGAATAGACTAGAGATTGCACATGTTTTTTTAAACACCCTGTATGATTTATAAATGTTACAATATCTTATTATGACGATAAAAATTAACATGTAAATTTCAGATATGAATATCTTAATTTGCAAATAAATAGTGTCGGCTTACTTAATAATTAATGATAGCGATGATAAGGTTCATGATAAGATAACAGCAAAAATTGTTGGTAATTAACTAAACATTCAATTTATTTGTAATTATAGTTAGTTGAATTTTGATAGTTGAATTATAATTTTCATGGGGATGGAATTCTCAAATACCAAAAATATTATATAACAAAAGGCCCAATCAAATTATTAGTAATTATCGGTGTCGGCTCGTGATTTCGAAGAAGGCTGGGAACAGCCTCAAAAATACCATACATTCTTCCAGTTTTCATGCTAGAAATGGGATCATGCCCTAAATTATACAAGTAAACTTAATCTTTTTACCATAGTGTGGCACGTGCCTCTGTGCCCTTTAGTTACAGCCGCCACTGGTTATTATGTTTTATTTATATTATATTATCACAGATAAAGTATGCATCATATAGGATAACTCATTTATTATTTTGGGTAAACGCCTATGTTAATTTTTACTTTGAAATCCATAAATAATTACATAAAACATCTTAACATATTGATATCGGATATCTGCCAAATTTAACGCGTACAGAAATAAATGGCAAATTACGACTTTATTAAAACTAGCTTCCAAAATTTTATCTGAAAATATATTCTTTAATTTTACACATCTATTTATTACCACTTTTTCTCCACTTAAATAATAATAAATAACAACAGTGAATAATTCAACAAGCGAAACTCATTTGTTTTTTTCTGATAAAATGTTTAATAACAATCGGCGAGGCCATACTTAAAATTAAAATATCCAAGTTAATTTGTTCGAAGGTATCCCATAGATGTGGAATAATTCAGTGACCTTAGGTCCAGAACTGGAGGTTCATGGACAATTGGTGTGCCCTTCTGGGCATGTTCCAAGCATATCTGTTGCAGTTTAAATCTGGAGATAGCGGGAATAATGGCAAATGATTAATTTTATTAAATGCCAGTCATTCTTGCACTACCCTATAGTCCGGTTTGAATTTGTATTCCGTTTGCAGATTTGTGATACAATATTGGGCGATACCTTAAAATTTTCATAATACCACACAGTATAACACTCGTCATCCGACAGTATGTTGTTATACAACAGTATAACACTCGTCATCCGATGAGTCCTCCGAATCCAAGCTGGTTTCCTCTACAAAACCGACATTTGCACAAGACTCAACGTTTCTTTCACATGCACACCATCTCTGTGCATACCACACTTAAAGTGGCACATTTGCAGCTTTAGGAGCAATTAGTTTTGGTATGTGAGCATCTCACTAAATTTAACACTTCATCGGGGGCGCACGGAAGATCACATATTATGGTTTCAAATTCACCATTAACCAATTTCCACCCATATTCCGCTGCTGGTGGTAAACAAGGATGGGGAAGTATGTCTTTATACCATTCCATGCATTGATAAAGGCATCTCAGTATTGCTGGTTTCAGAGCTGCTAAGGTTGGTGGCATATTATCGCTGGAACTTTGTTTTTGGCTAAAGATCCACCATCTCAGGTCAGATAACTTGCTAAAGCTTTTCTTTGTTGGTAAATACACACCGCAAATAAAAGATTCGATTTCTTCAATAACAGATTGAGCTAATATTTCATTTTTCCCACGAGCAGCTAACGCCTGAAGTGTAGATGGAGAAGCTGTTAGAAACTTTTTCCAAAAGCTAATTTTTGATTTACCTTTGAAGGCACCTGTAACGTCAGCTTCTACCATTAACTCTCCCAACGAATCATAAATTGGTCGTAAACGTATTTCCTGATTACTTGATCCGATGGTTACAAAGTTTGTGTCTTCTGGAAACAAAGGAAAACATCTCAAACCAAGTAACAAAACGTCAGTATCTGGTGAAAATATTCTTATCCTATTGACTCCTCTCTTAGTTTCATGTGCAACCTAACAGAATGAAGTATTAATTTTGGATCAGCTTCTTCGTGTGAGCTCTGCAAGTCCATCATATTGTCACAAGCAGTTGTAGCCAATATGAAATTTTCCAAGGAACATAACACTTTGCGATTAGTTTCATTTGCCAGTGATATTACATTGTTTTGGGAAATATTGTGTAATTTCCCCTTTCGTCGATGCATGAGGAAGCAGCTTTTTTAGATTTGTGTTTATAAGACTAGTTTTATCACTAACTATATATTGTATAGGGTTTGCTCCTTTTTGCCTTCTGACCCTTTCCATTGATTTGAAAGAGTCGTTTATACGAGTCAAAAACAACGTGAATTTTAGAATATGTAGAATATTTTTTTTAAAATCTTGGTTGAAAACTGATTTGACAAATCAGAAAAGTATAATAACAAAAATACATTTTTTTTTATTTTAGGGGTGACATATTATTAGGGGTGAGTACCACCTTCTAATACTCTAGTGCAAATTTTAATTTAGATTTATTTTAAAATTTGAAACATGACAAGAATATAGTATTTTTAAGTAACACGCGTACATTAAAAGTTACCCCTTTACGTCGCAAGGAGTAAAACTCACCCCTTATCACATTTTAAACCATATTTTCTGTTATCTTAAATCAAAAAAAGAGTTTTTAAAATTATGCAACAATTTGTTTCCATAATTTCATTTAATTTAATTTTTGTTCTTTTAGGGGTATTAAAGGGGTAAAATATACCCCTCTACCATATTTGCTAGAGAGGGCCCATCAATATTCATATTCTACAAGGTTTACTGAAAATTTTAAGGTATGGCACAATATTGTATCACAAATCTGCACACGGGATCCCATATTTGACAAATTGAAACCGGACTACTAGCTCTGTGTGGATGAGCTTCATCATTCATAAATATGAAATTGGGTTCAAAATTCCAGCGATAATCATTCATCCTGTTATAAATGATGTCGTCAGCATAAACTTCACCTCATTGTATCTTCACAAACATACAACTCCGTTCGGCCTCTGTAGAAAATGGCACTCCAGACCATTGCACATCCACCGCCAAATGGATGTACTTCTTGAATATATCGGTCATTAACTTTTGAATTTCTTGGTCTCCAGGTATGAACTGTACGGCTGTATGATGAAAGCCACTAGTCTTCGTGCTCACTCACGTGTGTCAGTGGGAAAACAAAAGCGGCCTTCATCACTGACCATCATAGTACGCCACTCATCAAGCCAATTCGCTCTTTCATTACACCAGAGCAAACGTTGACCTTTATGGCCTGCGGTCAACGGAGGGCGCCTTAAGAGGCCTATAGCAATGTAAACCTGCTCCATTTAATCTGTTTAAGACCATCACTTGACCGTCACGCATCCGTGGTGTAGCACAAATTCTGCAGGCAGAAAAAAGATCCTGGCTGAGTAGCATGCAGTTTCTTGTAGGATCCATCCTAGCTCATCTAAGTAAGCTTCGGTCCTCCCTAGCATTTGTCGATCTTGGTCTACCCTTATTATGCCATTCCATGTCAGATCCAGTGTCATTAAATCGATTGAGCCGAGAAATTACACTTTGCGAGACATTAAACTTTGGATGGATGGAATGAGTCAGCCATATCGATATGTCGCGCACCTCCCAGAAGCAACCCAATAGCTTGATTTGCTTCCTCTACCGCGCCGTCCAATGACGTCTATTCATCTTGTCGATGACAAAATAATCACAATCTCGCAAAACCGTTGTTTAGCAATATAAAAATGCAACTATTCTAACAAAAATAAAATCGCTTTTTATTCAAAATCTGAGCTAGATAGGTATAGGAAACCCCAATACAGTTTGAAAGAGCATTTAAATCTGCTTCGATTTATTTTAAAAAATACAGGGTGTTGTATTTGAAATAACAAAGATTTCATGTAAAATATTTAAAATATATCAGCAATTTTTGGTACCCTTGTATAAATCTAAGGAAGCAAAGAAAATCAGTAAAGTTTATTTCTCTACCTTTAAACTCAGCACAAGAATTAATTCTGAGAAGTAATGTACAGCGTGTTGATAATCTATTCTATTGTAGCATGCATATCTTTAAATATCTCAAAAACCATAGGAAAAAATATAACTTTGGTATGGATCTTAGTTCTGAAACACCCTGTATATTTCAAAATAATTTTAAATTTTGCATATAGCCAGCCTCACTACATACAGGGTGTGTTTCAAAAGTGGTTCACCCCTATAACTGTTTTATTTTTTCAGTTAAAAAAAACGAGATTAGGTATGTTAGTAAATGACATAAATTAGAATTGATTGACATATTCAGGTGCCCGTTGGCGTAGAGGTACAGGCTCTCGTCTACCAGTCTCAAGGTGGTGGGTTCGAATCCTACACCCGGCATTTCATCAGCCGACTATTTTTATTAAAATAAAAATAGTTTGGGTACCTTGGTCGACTCAGGCTTAAATGAGTACTTGGGATTCACAATCCTGAGGTAATAATAGGCGGTTGAAGCGTAGTGCTAGCCACATTACCTTCCTTGCATACTGAACGGCTCTAGCAAGGCAATCTGTACCTTGCTACTCCCAAGGCGTTAAACGCTATATACGGGAGCTATTATTATATTATGTTGACATATTCAATTGTTTTTGGTCACCTCCTGTTTTACCGGAAATTACTACAACTTTTGATTTTTAAATGACACCCTAGGAATTTTATTGCTTTATTCGATGGAAAATGACACTCTGAACAGAATGACATATCATATGTCACCTTTTGACATTTTCGCATATGGTTTATTTGAAATTATAACTTGAGGTTCTTAATGAAAATTTGACTCGAAATACCAAGTGTATGGTATCAAATTATTCGTAAAAAAATGCTTTTTCCAAATATGCTAATGAGCTACCCTTGTTGTATTTGAAAAAATTGAGATATGATTAAAAATACGATTTGAGCATTTTCTAACTGACCAGGAAAAGACTCTAAAAACATTAGACGATCAAATCTATTTTTCCAGGGCTCCTTGACTAAGAATTAGTGTTTTTAACATAGTACCTAAGCGAAAAAGTTGACATATGATATATCATTTTCTATCGAATAAAATAAAAAAATACCGAGGGTGTTATTTAAAAATCAAAAGTTGTAGCCATTTCGGTGAAACCGAAAGTAACCAAAAACAATTGAATACGTCAATGAATCCTAATTTATGTCATATACTAACATACCAAATCTCGTTTTTTATCTGAAAAAATAAAAAAGTTATAGGGGGTAGCCCACTTTTGAGACGCACCCGATATACCCATAAAATATTTTGTTTCTACATCTTTCCGTTTTCGTATACTCAACCGAGGCGAATGAAACGCGCCACACTGCATATGAGTCCTTGTTTTACCTCGATAAACAATTATTAATTATAGAAATAAAAATATATTTTAGCTAGACGGATGAAAAAAAAATTGATAATAAATAAATACTTATGTATGATTTAAGAAAAATGGAAATAGATTTTTAGCCATATATTTCGTTAAACGTCAAATTTGACAGATATCCTATAGCAAGAAATTAAATTTTATTGTGTAATTTTTAATCCCACATCAACGTAAAAACTTACTCCATAGTTAAATATCAGTTAAATATATTAATTAAAAAATCCTTATAATGCATCCTTTATCTATGACACTTTATAGTTTATATTTTTAAATTACCAAATTCGTCGGGTTGTAGTAATTCTGAATATATAAGAAAAACGACCACCAATTCTCTTTACAAGGCTTTATAAAACTAGCTTGTCCGACGTTAAATCCTGGACCGCTACCTATAAATCTTGCCAAATATGTAACGAAAAGAAAACACATCAACAGGGCAGGCGTAAGTCTGAAACAATGCTAAAATTAGAAATTACAACTATTTTATCCTAACAAACAAATTTTCATAATCTACCTCAAATATCTGTAAATGATCAGAATTGGAACTTTTGCAGTTTGAACTGTGACTGGCTTCTTTACTTCCGTTTTGAAATATTGATAAGCCATAAGGAATCCAGCAATATAAAAGAAAGTGTCGACTCCATACAGGGCCATTCTGAGATAATTTGAAGAATGAGAATAATACCACTGTAAAAGAAACAGAGAGATGTATTGTTGTCATTTTTGGATTTTTACTAAAGTACAATTTTATTCATTGCTTAAATATTTTAAGAATTAAAAATTCTTCTTAAAAATTCCTAACCTTATCTTTTCTATAAAATGGTAAGATAATACTTCCAATTCGATGTTTTGGATTTGAAACACTATCATCAATTTTCTTTATTCAAATACGGACTTCATTTTATATTTTTTTCTACTTATTAATTTTTTTGCTCTTATAAATATATTACGATATAATAAGAACAAATAAGGACTATGTGGAGAAATACGAAACCACGCATCTAGTAATCACATTAAAAAAATCCTTACGGTAGAGTTACAGTATATTTTTAAGAAAAATCCATATTTTTCGACACCAAAAAAAATACTTATCAACAATTGAATGTATAAATGTTAATCTTCCCCACCACTTTATGATTGATAATAGATAACAAAATTATTGTCTTAAGAGAACAAAGCGTAATTGGTTGAAGAATATATTGCAGATATTTTTAACATGCCCTTAGAATTATTATAATTCTTACAAATATGACATATAAAAGAATGTTTCTTAACGTTATTTATATGAAAAACGCCTTGATGAGTTAAGAGAACAACAAATAAGAATAACAAAGGCTTGCACAAAGTTAATCTACACCCAATTACGAGTATACACCCACCGGCACGAAAAACGGACACCTCAAAATTTTGATGTATTTTAAAGTTCAATATATTTTGTTCTTGTGGGCCGATTTTAAAGCATTTTGTAGCTAAATTATTTGGATTTTTAGTATCTCTTTCTAAATTAAAAATAGAAGTTTCCGTCTGTCTGTTATACGAGGCAAAACAGAATGTTGATATTTTGCTGAAAGCATGAAACACATGGAATACGTTAACAAATCAAGGCAATTAAACATAATTTTATCATCTAGGTACATCTCTTCTCGATAGTTAGATTTTTGTTGGTTCTTCTCAATAGCTTTATTTTTGTTGGAGATATTCGCTTTTGAAGAAGACACTAACATTTTTTAGTAATTTTTACATTAAAACCATGCCTTGGCTTTGGGCTCCAGTCAACAGACCTATGAAACACTGTTTATGATTTATGTCACTGTTATTGAAAAATCATCTAGTAGATAATCTAGTAGAGATGTAAAGCATCCAGCATAAGCATTAAGTCCAGAAGTTGTATCCGCTATAGTTGCTTGAGAGAGTTCAAAATTATGTCGCTAACAGATTTAGGTGTGCACGAAGTACAGTGCAGTTGCTTTCCCGAGATAAGTTCACATGCTCCAGGAACCTTCGTATTAGAACTTCGAATCGAGATGATCGACTTATTGTAAGTTTATCGCTAAGAAACCGCGGTTTGCTAGCTTTTCAAATTTTTAATAAATTGCACCTAAGGATCGTAGATGTAAGTGAACGGACTGTAAGAAGAAGTTTAAAAGAAGCAAATCTGATATCAAGAAGTCTGCTTCGGAAACACAACTTATTAGGTCTATTGACTGGGATCAAAAGCGAAGGCATAGTTTTACTGCAAAAATTACAAAAAAATGTTACACTGGACGCGCGTTTCGCTAACCATGTTAACATCATGAGCAGATGATTAAAACTAAACTAATAACTACAAAATAGAGCCTTTATATACTCGCTCAGTTTGCTCTGAGTGGGTGTGACAACACTAGCCAAGCAAGTCAAAACCAACAATTAATTACTCAAACTTGAAACTCTGTTCATACTATATTTACATTCATTAATTTTGACGCTCTCATATGCATCTCATTGCCTGTAATTTGAGACTTGTTTAACTAATTTTAAATTATTAATACCTATACAGTGTCCCTTGCCCTAGGAGATGCAAGACCTTGTCTTTGGTGGGGAAGCTACTGGTCAGGTGCTGGGGGGAATCCCCCCTAGCGCTTGGCTTGATTTAACAAGCATCTAACTCTTCGTCTTGTCCCTGGCTGTAGTGTCGTGGCCAGGGAATTGCACCAAGACATATAACGATACCGGACGGGACTACCCCTGTTCGTCATACCAAAGAATATTATAGTTTTAAGAACTCTCGTGTGGAAGCTTTAGGGATTTGTCACACGGTGGCGCTTTTGAACATAATCGAAGCCTGAAAATGCTAATATTTTAAATTTTGAGGACTACGCGCGGCGATATTTCGTACGGTGTTGCCAAAACATATTTTATTTCTCGATATTTAAAGAAATATGTATTGATTATATATTTCGTATTCGTTAGTACATGAGGCATCCTAAGGCTATAAAAACGTAGCTATGAAAATAAAATTTTAGATTTTTAATTTTTTTGTACCTTCTAATAAAAATTACTTCTATTCCAATAAAAAATTAACTAGTATGATTATGTGTTATCTGTGCTAGTATTAGGAAACTGGAGTAAATACGGAGAATATTAATTCGTTCTCTAAGATGAGCACTACTAAGTAATTTTTTAAAATTCGACCCATAAGGGGGTGTAATTAGACAAAGGGGTGTAATTATACAAAAAAAAATTGTACCTACTAGGAGTATGAACTTTTGCATAGATGTGGCGCATTTGAACATTGATAAGCGATTTTTGGAAATGTATAGCCTAAGGGTAGTGAAACTGGGGGGTGACATTTTCTACAAAAAATGTTAGTTCTAGGAGTATGAAATTTTGTACAGAGTTTCCTTAAGTGACGAAAGTGAGTACCTAGAAGCTAATTTTTGACATTCATCCCCTAGAAATAAGGGATAAAAATTTGTACAAAAGTTTGATACAATCGGTTTTAGAAGTATGAAATTCTGCACAGATGTTCCTTATGTAACGTAATTTAGCACTAAGTAGCACTTTTTGGAAATTCGCCCTCTAAGGGTGTGAAATGAGGGGTGAACGTTCTGAAACAATTCTGTTGAAGGAATATGAAAATTTGCACAGAGGTTCCTTATGTAGCGTAATTGACTATTTAGAGTGATTTTTGGAATTCATTCCTTAAGGGGGTAAAACTAGGGGTGAAAATTTGTATAATTTTTTATGTAAAATCCGATCTAGGACTAGGAGTATGAAATTCTGTTCAGAGGTCTCTTAAATGATGAAAGTGAGTACCTAAAAGCGAATTTTAGGCATGCATCCCCTAAAAAATAAGGGATGAAAATTTGTACAAAAATTTGTTAAAATCGGTTTTAGAAGAATGAATTTTGCAGACGTTCCTTATGTAACGTAATTTAGCACTAAGAAGCAATTTTTGGAAATTCGCCCTCTAAGGGTGGGAAATGAGGGGTTGAACGTTCTGGAACAATAAATTTTGTTCAAGGAATATGAGAATTTGCACAGAGGTTTATTATGTAGCGTAATTGAATAATTAGAGCTATTTTTGGAATTCATTCCTTAAGGAGATAAAACTAAGGGTAAAAATTTGTATAATTTTTATGTAAAATCCATTCTAGGACTAGGAGTATGCAATTTTGTACAGAGGTCCCTTAAGTGATGAAAGTGAGTACCCAGAAGAAAATTTTGGACATGCACCCCCTAAAAAATAAACACTCCCTATAAAACAATTAAAATAAAAAAATTGTCTAAAAAATAAGAAAAAATTGGGGTGGACCACTCTTATCACTTAGGGGTATAAAAAATAGATAACAACCTGGGAATAGGTTGTGACCAAACCAAACCAAACCAGACCTACTGAATATACATATAAAATTTTATCAAAATCGGTCTAGCTGGAGATGGTAACAAAATATTAAAAAAAAACAACCCCTATTAAAATATAGGGGATGATGATGGAACGGTGAAAATTTAGGGTTATTTGTATTTTTTAATGCCAACTAAAAAAATAAAAACATTTTTTTCTTTTCAAAAAATAAAAAATGAGGGTGGGCTACCCTCTTGGCTACCCTTACCACATAAGGGTATAAAAAATAGATAACAACCTATTCTTAGACGCACTGAATATACATATAAATTGTATCAAAATCGGCTAAGCCGTTTCGGAGATGGTAACAAAAAACAACCCCTATTAAAAAATAGGGAATGATGGTAGAACGGTGAAAATTTTAGGTTCTTTGTATTTATTAATGCAAAATAAAAAAATAAAAATATATTTTTTTTCAAAATATAAAAAAATGGGAATGGGCTACCCTTATCACTTAAGCGTATAAAAAATAGATAACAAACTATTTTTAGACCTACTCAATATATATAATAATATTTCTTCAAAATCGGCTAAGCCTTTTCGGAGATGGTAACAAAAAAACAACCCCTATTAGAAAATAGGGGATGATGGTAGAACGGTGAAAATTTAGAGTTGTTTGTATTTTTTAATGCAAAATAAAAAAATAAAAATATATTTTTTTTCAAAATATAAAAAAATGGGAATGGGCTACCCTTATCACTTAAGCGTATAAAAAATAGATAACAAACTATTTTTAGACCTACTCAATATATATAATAATATTTCTTCAAAATCGGCTAAGCCTTTTCGGAGATGGTAACAAAAAACAACCCTATTAGAAAATAGGGATGATGGTAGAACGGTGAAAATTTAGAGTTGTTTGTATTTTTTAAGGCCAAATAAAAAAAATATTTTTTTCAAAAAAAAAAAAATTATGGTGGGCTACCCTCTCGGCTACCCTTATCAGTTAAGGGTATAAAAATAGATAACAACCTATTCCTAGACGTACTGAATATACATATAAAATTTTATCAAAATCGGTCAAGCCGTTTCGGAGATGGTAACAAAAAATTAAAAAAACAACCCCTATTAAAAAATAGGGGATGAAGGTAGAACGGTGAAAATTTTAGGTTCTTTGTATTTATTAATGCAAAATAAAAAAATAAAAATATATTTTTTTTCAAAATATAAAAAAATGGGAATGGGCTACCCTTATCACTTAAGCGTATAAAAAATAGATAACAAACTATTTTTAGACCTACTCAATATATATAATAATATTTCTTCAAAATCGGCTAAGCCTTTTCGGAGATGGTAACAAAAA